AACACTCGATTTAATAATAATATGATGCATGATTTGTTCCTCGTAATTTCTTACAACGGTAAAAACACTAAGAACATTGCCGGAAAAGCGTCGGACTTTGTGCGATTAGCTTTGTATGATGAAATATATATTCCCGGTTCAGCCGCGTTAAAACGTTTTTTTGGCATCACCGTATATTTTTATATATTATATACACACAACAATGTAATGGGCGGTGTATTTATCGTCACCGCGTCTAACTGAACACTTTATTTATATATACGCCGCGTGAACAACCCTCTCTCGCGCGTTATTTTATTATTATTGTGTATATAGTGTTTAGGGTTTATTTTTTAAATTGATTACATCGCGAAAAACCGATGACCGCCGTTCAAGCTCATATATATATATATATATGTAAGTGTAAGCATATAATAATTGGTTTATCGAGTCAAACCCTTCAGGGTGAAGGGGTGTACGCCGCCAAAGTGTATATATACGCGCGTTCACGGACGGTTAACCCGACGCACAGGGATCGCATCGGCATCACGCCGGCAGCGTACCCATATGGCGTTTTCTCAGCGGCTAATCCGATTTGGCCTGCTAATGCGTAGTATATACGTGTGCACGCGCGTTTTGGGCTTTGTATATTACATGTTATTGCATGTTGTGTTGTATACAAGCAAAAACCAAAACGAAAACATCGAACTCATTTTGTTTATTATATATGCGTTCCGTTATAATACTTCCGTACTCCCACATAATGCATATGCGTGCATATGTGGGGAAATATAGAGACAGAGAGAGAAAGTGATGGAAAGATTAAGAGATAATTTCGTTTGAATGAATATTAAAAATAATAAGTAGATTTTATACAAATGATTTAAACAAGTTGCACGAAACTCGATGGATTGGTTATGATTATACTGTTTTAATTTTGTCATCCTTATTACACACATTTAATATATTATAAATATAAATACACCCACTTTTGAGTCTATACTATAATACATGCTTACAATGCGTATTCATAATACATATATAAGTACATATACGCCACAGCCGTCGAATTAAGCCTTCTAGCAAACGTTATTAAGACCGGATAAGTCCAACGTCTCGGGAGACCGCGAGAAACGAAGGCGGCAACGGTGGTGGTTTTATCAACCTCAAATTATACGCGTATATAATGTGATATCGAACTGCAAACACGCTACGACGGTGAGTTAATTGCCGACTAATGGCGTCTTAAAGATTCGCGACCGTCTACATCTACAAATATAATTCTGCAACATTATTTTTATATTATATTATATTATTCCCGTGCTCACATCGTGGATGTATTATTATTATGTATACGCCGTAATATGGTATTCGTGTAATAGAATATCATATTATTGATATTTCGTTTGGGAATATATTTTTTTAATTATTTTAATATCGCGATCGCTTATAAATTATAATTACAATAATCTATGAATAAATGAAGCAAGTCTAACTTAATGAAAAAAAAAAAAAAAACTGTAAGTTATAATATAATACCAAAGAATTTTCACTAACGGCTGCATGCGGGGTTGATAAATGAATTGTTTTGAAGAGAAACATGAAAAAAAGAAAAAACCGTTCCAAAAATGTATAAACAAGCTATTATGCCTCCAAATATCGTTATTATGTATATATATATATATTATGTAGAACATTTCAGAAAACATAAAACGGAATATTATACCCGCGCGGGAGTATGAATCACTTAAAACCCGTATCAGATGATGCGATGAGTCTTTTACGCACAATAATAAAATTAAACGTTTCGGACGTGAAAGAAATAATATATATATATATTATTTTGAAGAAACGAAACGAGGGGTAAATGTTAAAACAGAAGCGTCGGGTAGTATACATTATATCAACGCGACAACGCCACCAACACCATACTGTTATAAATGTATTAGACATAGTACGTATATATATTATATACCTAACTAGTATAGATTTTCGCAATGCATTTATGTATGCTTAAATTTGTAACATGACGACTGTTACGGTTTTTTTTTTCTGAAAATTGTTTCACACGCGCGCATATAGATATCGGGCAGGGATCCAAAGTATAGAAAAGATCGATATTATTATATTCAGGGTTAAGAAAATTTTAACTTTTTTTATCACTAAACCGATATGTTATAATAATATGTATACTTATCGCGCCTTTCGCTATATTCATACATTTACAAGCCAAAACAGCAAAGTCTACAGAATATAAAAGATATTTAAATTAATATATTATTATCATTGCAATCGTAATGTAGATACCTATAACTGGCTAGTTATATTTAAATATTTTAAACTAATAAGCAAAACTCAAAAGTAATAACTGTTGTTTTAACAATAATATCATGAAGAGGCATACCTATACAAATTAATACGCGAGTGTGGTACGAAACGTTAACAATATAAAAGTCCACAGGTTAAGATGCCGACAGTCGAAATATTATTGATAGCTTAAAATATTAATTATTCTTGTTTCAATTTTTATAAATCAAATAGTATCATTAATTTTTCGATAAAAAAAATTAAAATTAAAAATATTGGTGAAAAAAAACTATAAATTTAGAATTCTTTTTTCTGGTAGCAAAATAATATTTATACATATAAATGTATGTTTTTAATTAAATAATTTCATAATCCAATGCATAATAATAAAAGAAAAAAAATTCATAAATAGGTAGTAAGTAACTCTTAAGTTTAAAAGTAATAATTTTGATGGCATCATACTGTTCGAAAGAAAAAAATTATCCATGTTTTTATAAATATTTGGTTTTTAATTTAAATAATTTCAATAATAGGCGATTATAAAAAAAAAAAAAGGTAACAACACTTCTTAATTTGTCAATATTTACTTTGGTAACAATAAACTTTAGTTTATCGATAAAGGTACTTCACACTTTTCGACATTCTCTGACCGTCGACATTTTAATCTGTCGACGTTTCGAACGGCTCCCCTGATGAGCTATCCTTACGTATCTAGTCTCACAGGGGCTAACCAAGAGGTCGTCTCACTTCTCGGAGTTTTTTAGTAGGCGGATAGATGACAGTCAATAAGTGATAATTTAATATTAACCGTATACCTATAATCTATATAGTATGGTATGTCAGTATATAATAACTACGACAGCAACAGCTGTAGATACGCAAATAATATATAAAATATTTGATGTCGAATGCCTTTATCTGCAGGTCACGGGCACACGGCGAGACGCGGGCGGAAAGTTTTAGACTATAAGCCTTTGAAAAATGTCGAATTCGCCACGCCACGGCCGCCGACGACAATCACGAGAGTACATCATCGTCGTTACCGCGTTATTAAACGTGTATCTGAACACGTCGTATAACGCCGTCATGCACCATGCCCCCCCCCCCCCCCCCCCCCCAGGAAATTCAGTAGGCGCGCCGCGGCGAAAAGACGTGTTTTGACTAACGCGAAACTGCACGCTCGTGTCCGCACGACTCGTCCCGCGCGCTCGTTGTACGTTGATGCGTACACACGCGATGCGCACACGACCGGGACACGTGCACTTTTTATATAGAGATTAATACGACGGCGGCGCGCGGGAGGCGTTATACAAGCAGCGGTTACAAGCGGCCGACTCGTCGCTGAGAGTGGACGGGGGTGGACGCGCGTACACTAATGAAGCGTCGTCATCGAGTGTCGGATGTTTGCGGTGGGCCGTCGGGCGCGGGCGAGCGCGGGTTACGAGCGGCGGCTCGACGGTGTAGACGGAGGGTGCTGCGCCGTTCTGCCGCCCCAGCACGTCGGCGTGATTTATGGCATCACCGACGCCGCCGCCGCCGCTGCCGCTGTCGACGGACAGAATGTAACGGTGTCGGTCGGAGTAGTTCGGCGGGAAAAACGACGGAGCGGATCGTTAGCGCTTCTTCGCGGGGCAATTAAAAGCGCCCAGCAGTGTCGGCCGCCGTGTCGGTTACCGTGGTAACGGTTGTTTGAGGAAGAGACAAGTGCACAGTGCTTATATTTTATACGTGTATATATGTATATATGTATATACGTGTATATATATATATATATATATATATTGTTATATGCGGGAATGGGATAAACGCGGCGGCGACGGCTTCGTGGTGGGTGTCGGGTCTGGCGGGGTGGCGGTGGCGGTCCGCGGGGTTTGTGCCGTGGCGGCATAACAACCCGAAACCCCGTCACTATAATTGGAGGATTACACAGATAATTGAATCGCCCTCAACGCGTGGCAACAGTGTGTGCGTGTACGCTATGCGTATGTTTGTATATATATATATATATGTGTGTGCGTGTGGCGAAGGGACGTTAGAACGCGATAGCGGATGCGGTCGGGGACGAGGGGGGGCGCGTTAAAACCGCACGACGACGCCTTTCAATAAAAATGTAAATTCGTATAAAATATATAATATTATAATTTTTAATAAAAAATGACGAAAAAATCCTCCTCATATTATATAATACGTATATAATAATATTGTATTATATATGTATATATGTATATGTATATATATGTATTATAAGCGGGGAAATAATTCAACCACCCGCCGTCACTTAAGCCCGTCTGCATAATTATATATTATGTAGCTGCTGAATGCGCTAACTATAATAATACGCGCTGTAATCGACGAAATCATAATAATTATTTGTTATCGGGAACCCTTATAATACATAAGTATTATATATATTTATACGCCGATTTATTTTATCCGTTTTTTATAAAAGTATAAACGTTACGAAAATACGTTCGCGCGATTTCAGGTGACGTTTTCTGCCTTTATAATTGCGTTAAAATTTAGTACAAAAATGCGTTACGAACGCGCGTGCATAGAAGATTAGGGGAGGGGGCTTAAAATATTTCAAAAAACCATTCCTGATAAAACAGTAAAATAACAGTGAAGGCTGAATTAAAATCTATCAACGAAATATGTATATTGTAAACATTTAGTCTAATAGTACAATATAGTAAGTTTTGTAGCTAATGTCTTACCTTTACTTGAGATTCAGTCATGCCCAGCGCGTACGCTAATTTTGCACGTTCCGGACCTGCCAGGTACTTAGTTTGCTCGAAAGTCTTCTCGAGTGCGAAGATCTGTTGCCCACTGAACGTGGGCCTCGTATGCTTCTTTTTACCGTCCTTCTCTTGATTCGAATTGTTCACTAGAAAAAAATTACGATTTTACTATACAATTTTAATTCTACAGTCACATATAAACTGTTTTTATATTTTATATTATTTGTTACAAAGCACCCATTTTTTCCCTAAAATATTAAGGCGTACGCTCTTTAAAATATATTAACACATTCTTATACAGAGTTATTGATATTTTATGCAATACATATTTACTTATAATACACCATTATTATCCGTGTAGATTTTATAACGACGAGCTATCAGTATAAAAAATAGAAGAATATAAAAATAGTACATAAACGCGTATATAAAACGAAAGGTTCCACTCATATATTTATCAGAAATTCTTGCCATGTCTTATGTATTATATATTATATCTACATCAAAAATCACAGTGTTAGGATTGTATTATATATAAAGAAAAATAATAAAAAATATACTTATACTCAATTTGTTTCGTCTATATACACCATCCTGCAATTGTCATGTATATATATATATATATTTATGTATTGTAACATCGTAAACTCTTAGCGACAATTTCAAACAACTCTGGAATAGCTCTTATTATTATCGAATTTTGGTATATATAGGAGCGGTACTATGAGAAATAAAGGAAATGTCTCCGAGCAATATAGAAACAATAATATATAAAATAACGTTTTCCCTGCGGTGGCGGTGGTGGCGTTTCCTTTTCGATATTGCCGGCAAATAGTTATCGTAAACACAACAATCTGGCCGAATGATCGTTGCGGTCGATTTTCAGGGCGCCGAAAACACGCTGTACGTAATATATATATAACATCCTCTCCACGCATCGGTCTCTCACTCTCTCTCTCTCTTACTCTTTCTTTTTTTCTTTATTTCTCTATTTCTTTCTTTCTTTTCGTGTCTTTTCCCCTATGCTCTTTCTCCACGTACGTTCACACATACACACACACACACCACTTACGTATATGTATTATATATATATATCGTTTAAAACAACGAGCAAAAGTAATATAATAAAAGGAACAGCAACCCAACAACATAAAATACGTTTAAAACGAACGCGTGTGGAGAAAATAAATAGCTTATATACAGTGTACGTATATTGTATACGTGTGTGTGAGAATATGATATATATACGCGTATTTTTTTGCCGAAGAAAAACCGCGAGGGAAGCAGCCTGATGCAAGTGTGCGTGCGTACGTGTAAGGTACTATGGGATGTCGGAAAATAAAGGCTCGACACTAGGGAGGACGATAGTGAAAGGGGCGTTATGTTTTTATCACTCGCTCGACGAGACGAGCGATATGTGGGATGGGAGCGGCAGATGATATTCAGGGTTCCGGGAAAGCGTGTCAACGAGAATTTCATTTTGTTAACACAATCCACGGCGGCGGTGGTGTCGCACACACGCGCACGTGTACCCCGAAAAACGTTGTTTTCGTCTTTGCGTCCCTCTTCGTCGCCATCATATCGTATATTTCCGCACACATCCGCGGAGAAGAAGAAAAACCAAATAAACGATCTATTTCTCGGCGGCGCCCGGGGACCGCCAAATCCCGTTTACTGCATTTCAATGTAATTCCGTCGGTTTTCGCTACAGCCCGCCATCGCACTAAAGCCCGAGCGTGCGCGCGCGTATATAAACGTATACATATATACACAGAAAATTACTTCGTTACGCCCATCGTTGTGACTTTTTTTTCTCAAGAAATGAATAAAACGAAAAGAAGAGAAACTAGCACAACGCTGCAACGGACTGCTTATCGTGAAAATATCACTGCTCCCTGTACCGTCGCACAGCAAGTGGACATACAACTATTACGTTTACTTATAATATAACTATAAAAAATTCTAACCATAGTCGTAGTTACGTGTCACACGCTTTTTAAAAAATCGTTAACACTGTAAACAAAATCATAAAATCTGTTAGTGTAGGTATTTGTGTAAATAATGGATAAATATGTTTATATTATATATACCTACTATTTAGTCTTTAATACCATCTGCACTTTTGTACTTCCTACCGAAATTCAGTACCCGCCGTTACCTTAGTCAAATACATTTCAAATAGGTTAGGTTAGGTATAGTAATAATTATTATTTCTAACTAGATAGCTAAGTTATATTAGATTTAATTGTAAGAGATGTACTGCGTATATAGTATATAATACACTTACATCATCGTGACAAGGAATTTTATCTCAATACAATTAAATTTGAACATTGTATTAAAATTTTCTGCACGAACACTTTATAATATAGTTCGGTATATTATAAACAAAATTACGCAATAAAAACATACTGGAAATTATAATATTAAACGAAAACTTGAATACCAAAACGAAGATTCTCTATTGAGATTTTAAATACATAAAATGAAATATATTAATAAAAAAGAAAACATTCGCTAAATGAAAGTATCATTCGCGCGTACATATTATATGGCAATAAATTCGTTTTTTTCGGCTGAAAGGCGAGGAAAAGTAAAAAAATAATATTATACTAGAATGCGCGAAAAATTGTTGATAAAAAAAGCCTTTTCAATTATCCCTTCGTATTAAATGGACGATACGCACTTGCGGATTGTGTGTGTATGTGTGCACGTCGTTTCAGAGACGGCACACATGCCGTTACACGGGATTTCGGGTCGGCCGGCGATATTATTAAGCTTTAATACGGCGCGCACTCATATATATATATATATACGTATATACCACGAGGGTGGAAGTTGCGGTGCGGTCCCTTTAAATCATTACATAATTTGACCCTTATAAAATTCACCTCCTACCCATCATCCACACACGTCGTCCGGTGGGTGTGCGAATGAGGGGAAAACGACAGTGGCGACCGATAGATATGTATATATATATGCATTACAGCGCGTTGTGTACCGTAAACGACGACGACGACGACGAAGACTACTACTACTACTACGACGGCGATAAGGGCGGGAGCGGCTATATAATATCGTCGTCCCCCACATTGTTTGACACTGTGACGGAAGCTAATTGAATAGTTTGTAGATTGAAAATACGATATCGCGGGCCTGCACTATATTCACGCGCGGGGGATGATGACCGCGCAGCGGGCGGGATATAAGGGTAGGTATATATAGTCGCGCGCGCGCAAGCAAGCACTCGCGCGAATTCGGCCGACCGCCCGAACGCCCGCCCGCGCAGTGGTGCGGGCGGCAGCGGCGGTCAGTTCCGCCGGAGATTACCGCACGCCATAACACTTTCGCCACGCCGCAACAGCTTGCGCCGCGAGCTCCGCCGGACCGTCACCGACGTGGAGAGACTTCGGCGCAGCTTTAAATTATATTGTATAAAATTGTTCTCATATTATATGTATATATACAGGCACACACATACACGTGCGGACCGGACGAGCAATAATTTCGTCGTGTAAGTTTGCAGGTGTGCGCGTGTAACTACCTATATAATATAATTTATTTCACATCATATCATTGATATTATAATAATTTTACGGTATTATACGAATAAAAAGGTATTTGTGCGTAAGTTTAACGTGAATTCAGGAAAAATAATGATTGAATGTGTAGATATTATTGTAATAAATATATGTATAATTATTAGTATGCAGTCCCGCCGTTACGCGAGGAAATGCGACAAACTGATGATGTACATATCATAGTAAGTAATAAAAAGGCTTTTGGAATTTTCACAATTTATTTAGGTACTTATTTCCATGTACCCAGTATGTAATTTGTAATTTATGTATGACTATAGTCATGTCGAATTTGAGTGCAGATCACATTTACAATTATTACTTTAAAAGGTATATAATACTCGTATATATATATACGTATTAACATACATAAAACTAAGTTCTGCAGCATTCAGCTTATTGAAGGCTATAATTAAATATTTCATTTATTTATCTTAATTATTAAGCCGCGGAAACGCGTCACATATTATTGTATTAAATATACGTATCATCAAATCGTATTTATTTTTCTAATAACATCCATAAGTCTGCTGCATATTCTTTAAAATACATTAACATTATGGACGTAATTTAATGAGTAGGTAACAAGACTAACGAGTAATTTAGTAATTTGTATTTATATATAAATATATAACTATAAAAATAATAATAATAATAAAAAATTCGAGACTCTTCTCTGATCGAATTCGAAAAGCAATAGTGTTTAGATGTTATACCTACATCGTTGTTTGAGTATAAACTAGTCTTAAAAAGAAATGTGTTTTAATATTGAGCCTCCGCCATGATATTGGCAATAAACCCAAACGAATATAATATTATAAACGTGTATGATATAAAATGTTTATTTTTTTTTTTTTAATAGTTTTTATACAGACTTTGCTATTACACTGCGATGACCGATTGTAATTTTTCGAGAACCATAAAAATAATATATACGCTACGAACGGTTGAAATTATTATTATATTATTATTCATAATAATACACGTAACGAATCGCCCGGAAAATTGCGTAGTGTTCTCGTGTATTATAACGATATATTTATGTATATATCATACATATAATATGACATAAATTATACAGCTGCTTATTATTGCGCTAATAACAATTTTCGAGCAACACAATTATTAATAATATTTATTTATAGTATTTACGAGTCTAATATATTATTAATTATTAAACATATTATTTTCTATTATATATGCGCGCATATACTGTATTTATAAATCGTTTAAAAAACCAAACTGTATGCCTCTATAATACTACATTAAGTATATACCTAACAAAATATTATACGATTATAAACATTATATAGCCGTCGCACCCCTTTAAGGAAGTATATATATAGTATATACATATACCTAACATTCGCGCACGTCCGATATACGCATATTCTATACGCAATATATACTACAGTTAATATGGCTTATACATACGACGGCCATATTGCAGCCCCCAGGCCGGATTTTCCCTCGAGGGCGAACTGCTGCATTGCCTATATATATAAGTGTGCAGTATATAGCAACAGCAGCTAGTTTATACATGTATAAACTGCACCGTGGTGAATGCGTAGCCGCGCGCTGCAATATATTTATATATAATAATAATACATTATTATTATAGGGGGAAGGGGGGCTGTAAATCCCTCGACCGTGTACCATGTACCATGCTTGCGCAGCCATGAAGACGAGTAAACATAATATATAAAATAATATAATAAACCAACCCCCTTTTTTGCTTCCTCGACCATTGTATAAAATATATAACCTATACACCTATACGAAGATTTCGCGATAAAATATACGAGACTTTAGAACTAGAATACGAGTTTTGTACTTTTGTGCTACTGCTGCTGTATTAGTAGGCTGTAGGCACACATAATACATATCATATATAAAATATATATAAATGCCTACGCAGTATTTATATTGCAATAATTTATATTGCATACATGTAGTTACACTTATTATAATCTAAACACATAAACTCGGCTGATGTACATATTGATATCGTTATACATATTTTATAATACTTTTATGTATAAACGCGAAGAAAAATATAGGAGAAAGGTCATCCTGCCATTATGTACGAGTGTATCAGATATGTGTACATGTTATTATTATTATTATGCCCATATGCCCATAAACCAAACCAATTAATTCCTCCTCACTCGGTGGTATATACCAGCTATAATATTATATATTTATTGTTTTTTATGATCCTTTGTTGTCAGTTTCGCGACAAGCGATTTAATAGAAAAAAAAATACACCTACACACACATACAATAATGCATGCGCTCAACGCTCGATACAATATACTATATAAATATATATAATGTGCGCCAATTAGACACACGCAACAATCGTCGTATTAAAAGTGCGTTTATATTATTATACACGATGTATGGAGCTATATTGCTATGCATAGCAGTTTTTTGTTGTTAATATTACGATCATTAAAAAAAATTTTAAATATCACTCAAATATAGACAGTGTATTATATATTATATCCTACACATAGCACGCCGAGTAACCGAGTATTATATAGTGACGACGTGTTGACGTAAATATAATATATTATAAAGGGTAGGTACCTAATCCAAAGCGGTCCAAAATAACGTGGCAGAATAAAATGCAATTTTAGCATAAAATACCCAACTGTACATAAACATATCTATATGAAATTTTGTAACCCAACATTTTATAATGACCGCGTGCAACGTCCATTTTTATGTGTGTACCTATAATAATAATATACACCGTTCCGTATACCGATATCAGGTCTAGGTCTACATAATATATATACAGTCAGTACGATGAACCCGTCTATGCACTTATTACGTATAATACTCGTACCTATATATATATATATATATATATATATAACCTGCTGTAGGTATTTTATACTCGCATGTGACGAAAGATAATGATATACATTATTTTATACACACATGCACACAAAAATATACGATGAAATATACGCTCATCATGGTGAAACTTTAGCACCCCTAATAATCCTTTTCGAATATATATATGTGTGGGTTGGCGGGGTATACAGAGCTTTTACCGCAGACTGTATGTGTGTATGTGTGTTTTTATCCCCTCGGTTATTTTTTTTTTTTTTTTTTTATGCTGAAAACGAAGTTTTGTGTCCGCGGTGTGCCGGCAGCGGACGAGGGGTTTGCAGCAATCGCACACATCTGTTACCGCTTTTGACCGCCGCGGCGGTTGCCGATATTTGCGCGAACGTCATTTGTCACTAGCCGGTCGAAATCATAGGCCAATAAAAACGCCGTTTTCCCGTCCATGTATATATAATATCATTATACACACACTCAGTCGCATAATTCTCATATGTATATTATTGAATATAATATACGAAAGCTTGGAATCGCTTAAAATATATATATTGCATACGAATGCTTTAAATTTATGTGAGTATTGTGCTGCGTGAGTGTACGTCTATAATAATAAGGCGAAATTCGATAGATAAAAAATAAACTGCTGCAGTAAACCTATTTAGTCTATATACAAATAACAGTAAACCTCGGATATGTCATGTTATATTATATCAAATATATAAAAAAAAATGTATGTCTGTTAAATTTTTCAAACATATAATTTGGTTCGTTTTAACACGAGTATAAAGTTATTGTTTGACATTTTTTATATTTTACATTTATAAATTATATCTTTCCGTGAAAATTATTTTTACATCGAATTAAATATATGTATCTACCTATATAACGCCGAATAATAGGTATACCTAATGTTTAAACAAACGGTTTTTAAAAACAATTTAGCCAAACATATTTAATAATCTGAAATATCTATACATTATTATTCTTTCAATTATTCAAAAACTGATTTCTAAAATTTACAATTGTAGAACCATATTTTAAAATACTTAAATCTTTTCTACAAGGAAAATGTAAGTGTTTTGCGGCGATATAAACTTTTTTGTAAGTGATTACTGTTAAGATTTTTTTTTTTAATTTTTAAATATCTAAAAAGAAACTAGAAAAAAAGTTTTTGAATTATTTATAACTTTATGTACTTATGATAATATTTCAATAGGTATTCAGAATATATAAAGGTTGTATAATTTTAAAATTATACATCTAGGTGCATTTAAATGATCCGAAAACTGTTAAACTATTTTGAATTTTGTTTTACAAACGTATTAACATTTTCAAAAAAAAATATCTGTTTAACATTTTACAGTAAAAATAGTTTATACTCAAAAATAGAAATGTTCATTACCAAAAGACACTTATTTAGAATCCAATCAATTACAATTCTGTGTGTTATTATACTTAAATTTGTAGTAGTTAAATGCGTATTTCTATGAGATAGAAGAATATTCTCCTCCCCAACCATTGATATACTGTTTCAATATTATATTGAAAGCATGTAAAATGTGTCACACTATTTTTAAACATTATATATTTATTCTAGACCTTATGCAAATATCATGAAATCAAAAATATGTAGATAAAATATCGACCAAATCTTTATGAAATCTAAAGAATATTGCACCACAACAGTAGATATAAGTAGGTACCTATCTTAATGTATATTTATATAGATGCGTGCATGATACAACGTATATACACTATTATAATAATATAAATGTACAATGATGGAGGTACTCACGACTAGCCAGCCTGTCCCTCCAGGCAATCGGGTTATTGACCAGCCCTTGGAAGCCCGGCCAGTAGAGGTTCCTGGTGGTGAGGTCGGCCAACGTGGTGGCCGGGTGCTTGACGCCGCCGTTGTGAAAGTATGACGCCGCGGCAGCCATGCCGGCGGCCGCGATACCGGCCACGCTGTTGAACGCCCGTTGCTGGTGGCTGATTGCGGCCGCTGCCCCGGTGGTCGGCGGCCTCGACAGTATCTGCTCGATGCCGTGTGGGTTGCCCGCCGTGCACCCGTTCTTCATCTCGGTCATGGTGTGCAGAGCAGCCAAAGGCGGGCTGCTGCTGCACGGCACGTCCAAAAAGTTGAACATTGGCGACAGCATGTTGTGGTGATGGTGGTGATGTTGCTGCTGGGACAACATCATCGTAGAGCCCAACGACGACCTATATATTTGTACGACAAAAAAAACACACAATACCAACTACGGTTTATAAATTGTATCAAATATTCGTGTACCATATAAATTGTATTTTATATCGATATAACTATAAAGAACAATATACAATGCACACGTATTATATAACATCAGTAAATCACGCACGGGATTTCAATTAAATGTAACGCGTTTTTCAATATTGTTTTTGTTTATTTTATCTATACCTATTTTCTTAGCAAATTCTGTAATTTTGGTTCAATCTATTAAAATTACACTAAAATATTGAGTAAAATTAATTTTCGTTGTTATATATTGCACTCTGTCAAAATTGATGAAAAAAAAAAGCTTTTTAACAGAACAACCACTGTATTATAATATATACATTATATTTCATATGAGTATATTATTTTAAATATAACGCCTAACACGTTAAAATAAGTCACTTTTGTCGTTTTGTAATAATTATAAAAATATTGATGCCTCGCGATATATACCTATAATACAATATTATTATATGTAGGTACACACGTGCTGCAGCTCGCCACCATGATAGAATAATAATATTATATTGTATATATATGCGTACCTATATATGCTAAGTACGAATAAAGGTTTTATACTATAGTGCAGTGTCTGTATAGATACATCTATTATATATATTATATATGTGATATGTATACAGGCGCTGTCGTCACGTCCAACCCACGAGGAGACCGTTACATCACAATGATCCCGTGTCACGACCCTCCGAAATGTATTTACCGATGTAGAAACTACATATAATATAATATATTATTGTTAATGTTCATAATACTGGAAAATTTCCATTCTCATCGCTGAGGCTGCTGCAGTTATATACGAGACGTGGTAAATTATTCTAGTTTCATATATATATATTTATATATATTATTTGACGTATCATGGATATTTATTATATATATATACAGAATTTGAGTTCCGTAACCAAGTGTAAAATATCTTTTTGAATGAAAACGATAATCACATACTCACATACATTTCTAAGTATATCTTTAATATAATGTATTCTTTATAACGTACCTATATATATACACACACCCGCGTGCACACACACTATATTAAATGTATGTACAATTTGTCAATATATAATTTACATTGTATATATATATATATTATATATATATATATGTGTACCAATAATATTATCATCTGTAATGAGTGTATACCTAATATATATATTATAAGAAATGTATATTATATGTTTTTGAATAGATATCGTAAAATCAAAATTTATTTTAAACATTTGTTTAAAGAACAACTTTTTTATGATAATAATCCATAAAACGTACAATTTTTTGAGAACAGAAGCACATATAATATTGCAATTACACATTGCTATTGTGGGGCAAATTCATTAAACAAATTAATTGATTAGTAGTAATACTATTCGGTGTTTATGCATTATTAATTTTACTTTATATAAGCATTTTATAAATGATTATACATTATTATCTACCTATAAAATTAAATAAAAACAATTAGTATTTTATCATTTTTGTCAGTGTAATATTGATGAGCTAATTCAATTTTTTTTTAATTTATAACAATAATTTTTCGATAAGGATATTTACGAATTTTAAAGTACTTACTTAGAAGAATTTTAATTTTGAACATTCAACTACGATGCATATAATACTTAAAGGTATGCCTCTATATATAATATGGGTTTTAGCAAAATACATGATGCACCTACCTACTTATCATAATTTCGCAAGCTACAACAACCAACGAATGTGCATTAGCATAAACCTATATTTATAATATAGAACTTACACATTAGGTAATACAGTAGATACCTATATCTATACGGAATTTACTTTATTGGGATTATTACATCGATCACGTGTTTTTTTGTCTCAATAGCGGTTGTTCCAATAAACCGGAATTTAAAAACAGAAACAACAACACAATAATTTGCTGTTGATTATGCTCTGATTTATAGGTATGAAATAATAATTTAATAGTTATAATAAAAACGGAGTCTATATTGCATTGCTGTGTGTATAATTTAAAACATAAAACGTGTACCTATATATTATGCCTAATAATTATTGTGTACCTACTTATATTTTATATATTATTGTAGGTATACAAAAATGTACTAACCTGGACGAGTCCTCAGCCTCGCTGGTCGTCCCGCTCTGCGCACCCGGCGATGCCGTCGTGGTGAATGCTTGACACACCTGACTATTTTCAAAAAGTCACCGTTCGGCAACGGCGACGAGTGCAGCGACGCTATAGGTATTATAGGTCGCCGTCCGTCCACTCTGCGCGGATCCGGGCTACGAGACGTTCGCGTTCTCCGACCAGTACATGATGACGATAACGATTTCTTCTTATGTATACGTATAATACAAACAACTAGACTGTCGATAGACTTGACGGCGGTGAGTATATGTACGGGGCGTCGTTTATCAAACTATATATTGCAGGGTTATAATATATTTTAACTGTAGATATTTTGTCTATATATTAAAACGCGTATTGTCGTCTGTATATTGTATAAAGTCGAATAAAAATAACGTTCATGTGACGAATTTACCGACGATATTATATGGTTATTAATAAAAAAAAAAAAAAAAAAGAAAAAAGAAACGAAACGAAACGCAAAACAAATAATAATAATATTATATTATCAAACTCGGACGCGAATCACGGTGTAAAAACGCAACGACGATGACGACGCAACGACGGACGGTGCAGTATAATATGAACGGCAACGTACAACGACGACGACAACAAACAAACCGTATTTATGATAATATTATGTATTATGGCGATACGCGAGATCGAAAAGTGGTCCGCGGCGGCCGACCGGTGGATGGATGCGACCGTAAAAAACGACGCACGATAAATGAATGCGTGTGGTGAGCGGCCGCACACGTACACCTCGGGGCCCAGAGTCGGTGGCCGAGCGGAGGGTTGGCCCCGCGCGCCGGCCGTGGGCACCGCCCACCGGGTCGCAGATTGGACCGTCGGCCGTGCCCGCCCACCGGCACCGCCGCCTCGGCCGTTCCCGCCGCGTACACTTCGACCGGCAGCGGCGGCGGCCGTGTTAATCAATTACTACTCAACCGAACTCGATTTTAATGCTTTGTTATTATGATGTTCGTTCGTTACGGTTAACAGGGGTTTGCGTGTGTCCCCACGTCGCCGAGCCACGCCCCGCAAAAAGAATATCATCGTATTATAATTTTTTAATATATAGGTATATCTATAGGCGTGTGTGTGTGCATGTGGATGGCGAAACTAAAAAAAAACTTAATATTAATATATTATAATATATAATAATAATAAAATATAATATGCGCGCATGTATACACCGCTATATATAATACATGTATACAATTTTAGTCTATATATCTAATTTTTTACGGCTTTTTTTACATATATAGCTAATTACGATCATTAAATATTTTATGTCTTATCATTATAAAATTATTATACTGCAGGTATTGTTCTATATAATATAATGTATACAATATATATATAAATGACGCTAATAAACTATATCGCGGCTAATAATAACCTATATATTATGTGAAACGCGTGTAATACGCATTTGCACCCTATATACCTACGTCTACATATATATAATAAAAAAAATGCATCTTTGAGACGACACCAAGACTTGACGGTATTTTATATAATATTATTATATATATTGTTTATAGCGGTGCGTTTATACTACAGCGGCGGTGCTGGTCGACTTGCGGCTCTAGACGACGTGACTAATGATGCGACCCGAGTTCGTCGTTGTCTGACATATACCGCGTGTATATATATATAGATACCGATGGGCTGCAGAAACACTGCAAAAGCAGTTCCCTTGTATAGTCGTCAGTTTAAACAACAAAAAAAAGGTAACACCTCTTGCAGCAATGCATGATACATATTAAGTTTTTATGATATATGTAAAATTGTAGCTATCCGTTTCCCAGTCCGAGACTTCCTTAACTGGCTTTACTCCATCACCCTCTGATAAAAAAATATACATATTTATATCGAGTTTCACTATCTTTTACATTATAGTAGGTACCTACCTATACATTATTTATATAATTATACAGAACGTATACCTATATTTCTATATAAATGATGCTGTAGTTTGCAATAATTCTAGATTTCATGAGATTTGGATAAAAGTCTATATATATAAATATTATATACCTATATGTATTAAACAATGTCCAATTTAAATATATATATATATATGAGTTACAAGCTAATTAATATAAATATATACTTATTAGGATGTCTTAGGTATAGATACTATATGCATATTTATAATAGGAATATAATTACAATATATTATATTTTTCATTTCATATTATTAACTGCAACCATGTATTTTCATCTGCAAGTAATAGGTAGATTATAGCGGTTATATAATATAAGATGCGTGCATTTTATGTATAATCGCCATCAATGTGAAGGTCAGCAATAATGATTATGATTTATAGTTCCCAAAAATGATTTGTCATTAAAATGTAAATATATGGCCCAAACTCGATCACACGTATAGTCACAAATTTAAGTAAATAATTATTGATAGGTACACACTATATTCTAGTATTACGCACTGTATACCTGCATATATTACATATGTATCAATACGTACCTACTTCTGATGTAGAAAAATTATGATGTTATTAAAGAATATAATATATTACTTTAATAATAATCGTAGCTAAAATAATAAATAAATAAAAATAATCGCAATCAATTTGCTATAGATATATATGTTATAATATGTACAAAATACATACTGACCTAATATATAAAACGTATATACGGATGTTTCTAGTTGTTAAAGTTATGTAAAGCTAACTTTTCCTCCCCGCTGCCGGAATATTAACTATATAGGCATTCAATAAATTTTTATAAATATAATTCTTAAACTTTACTGAAAGTAAACAATAGAAGTAGAATGCCTAATGGGCATGCAGGTGGTGTGATCCGCCACCACTTCCTACATAATAAGTATCTATTATGATATGCATCCAATAAAACAGCTAGGATTTTTTTTTTAAACTGAAGATTTACATTTTAATAATAACCATTATCTTTAATTAATATTAAAGATATAGGTACAAAAATATATTATAAATATGTAATATCAAGTGTACAAAACCAATAACGAATATAAATGATTAATATAATATATATTTTTATTTAAATATAAAAGTGGTGTTTTAATTTAACCGTTTATATATATATATTAAATGTAGGCAAATATACCTATAAGTATTTGCAGTAATTGTAAACTATGTGTGTAATTTTTTTTTTTTTTAATATGGTACCTATATTTACTCAATGGAGATGTTTTGATATATTCCGTATATGACTGTACGAACGTTAAAACTGAATGAATTAGATTTCAAAGATTACACCCCTCCTAAAAACAAGTCAAGCGTACATAGTATATATATACATTATACAATCATCACAAAAATTCGTCAGTCATTTTTCATTATTCCCCTTTTCATACGACTACGTGCTTCGTATTATATTAATGTTACATATATATTTACACTTCACATTAAGAAATAATATTCATATTTAATATTAATAATGTGTTTGTTGCTATTATAAAATCGATATCACAATAGGTAGTAACATGTTTAATATGTATATACAATTTCACAAACTTCATAAATCATCATAAATGATAATGATAAAAAATAAAACAATTTTATTTAACTTGATTTCACATTTCTACATATAGGTAGTGGTAAATCTACAAAGTACAGAGATTAAATATTACATTATTCGAGTGAGTTTCAGCAAGGAAAAACTTAAACATTAATATTTTTACGCCATATTAATAAAAATATGTACTACGCTATACTACATAGTACCTGTACATACATTATAGATAAGTAATAGTAGTATTACAGTTATAGTTTATAAATATATGTTGTAATTAATTATTAAAACCCTACAGAGTTTAGTATTTTCAAAATATTATTATGTTAATGAAATTAGCAGGATTATATAATTTTAAAATGACCGTTTAAATCAAAATATAATGTAATGTATATTATATTAAAGTAATCTCAACTAATAATAAATCCTTTAATACACCATGAAGTATTCTCTTGTTAATTAAAAAATATTATATAGAGGGTGGATCCCTCCAACCTTTGTGTGTTATCATTGACGTGCCAAACTATTGTATTCATGTTATATAATATACCATTACTAAATAGTGGAGATTCAAAAGTCACTAATTTAACAATGTCCCCTACATTTTTCAAATTTGATTTTTATTCTAATAACTGTTTTTGATTTCATAACTGCAATATCCGATATGATGTGACCGTAATATATATATAATATAATATATGTGTTATATATTTATAATAACTACGTGCGATAAAAATCATTTAACTTGTTTTTTACTTAGACCATATATCATTTTTATGGCTTTGAATAGATTAACAAAAATTATAAATTTTAGTTCGTTAGCATTTGCCACAGTTCACTCATAAATCTAATCGAACGTATAAATATCATATAAATCTACTACATGGGAAACGGATTAAAAAACTACTAAAAAAAAAAAACCCAAAATATAGATGATTTTACAAGCTACATCTATTCTAATTAAATGATTAAAATATATTTTACCAATAAAGAATATTATATACAACACTAATATTTTAGGAGGTATATACGTAATTATCTATACTATATATCGTTCAAAATTAATTTAATATACTATAGATCACATGTACTTTTGTAGATAAATTTAACATTATATAGTTATATTTAAATAAGGTGAGATGTATAATATACAAAATTAATTATTAGTGCATTTTTATCATTTATTATTTTTCTGATATGTATAATTGCAATATATTTCACCGAGTCAAATTTTTCTATTCAATATAATACAATAGAAACTTAAGAAGAAAAAAATTATAAATTTTTTCTAGAGCCGTAAACCTAAATATTTTTATTTAGGAAACTAACAGTGTTATTGTAAAAATTAAATTAAAATTGTTTCTTTAGAATAGAGCTAAAAAAATTTATTCGGGAAACAATTTTTATATCTATATAAACTATAACTAAAATAATAAATATTATTTATAAGATATCTATATTTTTATGCGTTATACACAGAATATTATAAAAATACTTCTTCGTTTTAGAAATAATTGTTTCAATACTGTTTTATGATACTAGAAATGTATATGTATCACGTTTAATTTTAATTAATTAAATACATTAAATAGATTTTAAATTTAAAAAATATAGATTTATAATAGAATCATTGTAAAATTAATTAAATATTATACACTATAATTCTGAAATCTATTATATTCTTGTTTCCCATCAAAATATAATAATATAAAATATAAATCGATTATATAGCAAAATCATTTTTAACAAAATGTATTATTCATTATTTCAGTAGTTATGTTTTAAAATTCCCAACACTATTACTTATGTGGGTATATTAAAGTGTATAACATTAATATAGATACTATTATTTTATATTATCTGATACTATTACTGATTGTAACATTATTATAAAGATTTTTGTTATAGTCATCATTATAATATGTAAATGTTTATGGTTTATTTTCTATTTTTAGTTATTTAAAAATATATATGGTCTAAAATATTCTGTAATTAAAAAATAGTTACATTTAAAATAAAAATTAACTAAGTATTTATAATTTGCTATAGTTTTTCAAAATAAAATAAAGATTATGAAAATAAAAATTAATCAATGTTTTTTAAATCATACTAGAACCTATTCCATATTTCATCTTGATTTTATAAACGTATCTTGCTATAAATACCTACATATATAATATGAGGACATTTTAAT